AAGAATAACACGAAGCTCTCAAAAATATGTATGTCTTAGATAACTTTCTCAACGAAAATAGAACGCCACATCAGGGATGAAAAAACGAATATTATCGATATGATTATAGAATTTCATTCTTGGATTCAAGCAAATGTTTTGTAACTTTCGCTTCTTCAGATCATTGTAAAAGAAAATGACTAGTTTTGAGATATAGTTCAAGGTAGAAAAAAAGAAGAAACTTGCAAAGAACTTCATTAACTAGGACAAACAAGGATGTAGATGTGGACGTTGTAGAAGAATAAAAATGCACACACACCCACCTATTTAGTGCATGGCTTTTATTTACTATAACACCGTTACATTGACCAGTATTTCAACTGTTATCCATCACTGATAATATTGTATTTCATGAATCTAAACTCATCTTCTTTTCCTTCCATTATAAAGAGAACGAGCTGTGGAAGAGAAATGCTGACAAAAGAGGATAAAAAACTAATATGTTATCATCATGATTATTGTTGCTCTTAAATTCATCTATAGTGAATTGAAAATATTTATACTTGTTCCTATTAAAAGGTATGATATGCATTATTTATTTTTGTTACATAATCAATAATAAAATAATACAAGAAAAGAAAAAAGAAACAAATCTTGTAAATGTTGTTAGTATACATTTGTTCTTCATATAGTTTATTCAACTGAATATTCTTGATCATTTATTTCACTATTCGTTCGATGAATAACGAGCGAACCGAACAGTTCTATTTAATCATACTTCTCCTGGTAGAATTTTGATCAGTTAGAAATATTTGTTTCGGAATTAGTTTTTGAAAAAATATATTCACTATCCAACATAAAATTGAGAGTCCACTATTACGAATAAATAAAGGTGCTATTCTTCATCAGACCTATCCTTTTACACACACGGAAATCAAATCCTGATGAAGCAGATTTTCTTAAAAGTTCACTTCTGAACTTTTAGCACACACTATTGAGCTAACAAAGCCTAAACTAAATTGTCGTGAATTTTATTTTCGGATAATAAAAATAGAACAAATACATCACCTTTTTTTAATAGAAACAGTCTGTAAGATTTATGCCAGTCGTCTAGTTCATGTTAAGTGAGGCTCTGAACTGGAGCCAATCTTGACCTGGTGATTTAGTTCTTCTTCCGAGTGTCAAGTTAACTCGTTTGCAAGCATCATATTTTTGTATTAAACATTCGTTAAATATCTGCAGCACGGTTTGCTTGTTGTTCAACCGATAAATAATGTATATATCCATATTGACCCGCTGTAATTCCTTCAAATTTTGAAAAATTTAGTTCCATTGATAAGAACTTATCCAGTCACGAGTTTGTCCGCACCCTTTAACTTTCAATTCAACTAACAAAGGTAAACAAAACAATATTTTGGCTAGCCTGCATATAAGCCAATTGTTAAAATTCAGATTGAGACAACGGACAAGATAGTATGGCATAACACATAAATGGTCTTTGGTGCTCAGTTTACAATTGAGTTGACGAGTTTTTCGACCATAGAAGTCATTAGACACATTAATGAGTTTTACAGAAGGAAAAAATAATTTGACTGGTGTTGTTGCGTACGAAGGATGTGAACGAGACTTCTGACTCTTCAACAGAATGATTCGTCGAATAGAAGGATGATATAAACAGAATTGGATCATTGTATTTCCAATTGATGTCAGTTCAGAACCGAGTAATGATAGAGTCAAGTTGAGATAGCTTGGCAGTCTAAATTAAAAATATTGTCTTTCTACTTGATTTTTAGACTTGTGTTAAAGAAAAACTACACTTAGCTCTCGATAAAACAATATTTTTTGATAAATGTCTTTGACTATTGAAAGAAAAAAATCGATAAAGTTTATTATGTTCACGAAAATAAACCATCATCAACTATTCGAGCTATCGTAACAACTTGCTTAATTGCATGAACTAATTGCACATTGTACAGTTTTCATAACAGGTATTTAGTCAAAACTCATTATGTCGTTGACTTTCGTTCGATGTAATTTTTGAGAGTCTTTCAGAACATTTTCGATCCTTTCTGCAATGAGTCTCATAAAAGCGTTTTAATATAACTGACTTATAGCAATCATTTTACAACTATAGATCACTCGAATTTGGTTCCTACTAAAACTATTTTGGTTTTCATATTATAAAAAAGAACTGGTAAATCGCTTAAATTGCATAAGAGACATTGACATTAACATTTCCAACAGATTTTTAGAACAATCTGTACAAAATTTATTCATAAAGTAAGGCCTATCTTAGAGTTTCAGAATCTATCTTATCAATTATATAAAACTCATTAAAATTCAATCAACTATTCGTTCGAAAAAAACTGATTGAATGTGACAATTACGAATGACATGCAAAAAATAATTCAAATTGATAAATATCTCATCATACATAAGAATTATGAGTTCGATTCTCCGTACCTAATAAACTTGAAGATTTAATTACGAGAATTGAAAATTCACATTTAGCACTAAAGAATTTTTGACATATGCTAGAAGCAGGATAAACATTAAAGTAAAACCTTCTATGTTACAAATTTATACATCGGTAGATTGCGATCGAAATATTGTCTTTTATATGACTTACTTAAAAATCTGACAGAATATTTTCTATATGATTTTAAAATGTATCTAATCGTTCAAATTTTTTCTATTAGATTCTCATTGACTGGAAAACATTTCATTATCATTCTATCTAACCTGCATAACCCTATCAAGACATTCATATTCTTGTTCATTGCCATAGATGATGCAAAGTGATTTAAGATTCGGAAATCTATTAAGAGAAACAATAACATGTTCAATATGAAGTGAGATGACTTGACCGAAAGAATACTTATCATAAATAAAAGGCATCTGATGATTAAAATATACATGATGTTGTTGGCGTGGATCGAATATACACAAATTGATCATGGAAGTAAGATTGAAGAACGTTTGTAGAATTTCTTTCGTATTAATATATTCGAATAGGTCGAGAATCAGTTCGCTTGAAAGACATTCGAATGTTGAATGATGATCTTTAGTATATGAATTCGAATGATATGTTAATATTTGCATAAGACAAAAAGTCTTACTTTATTCTTCAGTGATATTTAATCTTTTTGAAGAACGATAATCGATACTTTCTTCCATGTTTTTAATAATAAGAATGAAACGAAGTCAGATGTTCGAAAAAGAGAAGGAGCATTCTATTGAGTTTTATATTCATTCGATGAGCTTGAACAAACAGATAGATGCGGACGAATAGAAACGAATATTTTTTCTTGTCCATACTGAATAACGAGCTATGATATTCATAGGTGATGGAAACAAACACCAGTGCAAATAGGAAGATTTATCAGTTAACAGTTATAATTATGTTAAGTATTGTTCGATAATTTATTTGAATTAGAAACTAAAAGTTACTGATAAATGTGTAAAGATTAATCATAAGTCTTAGAGTAATTTATTATGTTCGACTTTCTTTAGAAGTATTGATCCGTATTTTATTCTATTCTTCAACAAAATACCGATCATTGACATCAAACGATTACGATATAATTTGCATCAATGAAAGGCTAGGAAAGTTGAACTTTCTATCAAAAAAATAAAACTATTCTGATTTTGAATGCTCGACTATTTTTTTTCCGCAAACATTCGGAAATTTCAAAGATCTTGTTAAAACCAGTATTCAGCAAGACTTAAAGAATTTCGAATTGATTCTAGACAACTATCAAATATTTACCAAAGTAAATATGCGCAAACATTTTCAATATCAACAAAGGATATATCTACTTATCTTTACTGTTCATCTAAATATTCATAGTTTGCATTTTGTGTTCGTTCATCTTTTATTGTGAGATATTTCCTGCAGGTGTGAATGTGGAAAAAGAAGAAGCACCCATACACACACACGAATCGAATTTTGACTATTATTAAGAGATACAGACATAGGTACTATTTCAGAAAAAAAAGACTGCTTTTATTTCTTTTTAGCATAAACAAAATCAATCTATCACAAACTGCATGCATAATTGATCCAATACAGTGATTCAAGCAGTCGAAACCATGTACTAAACTTCTTTATTTCGTATTATGATAGATACATGTAAAGAAGCGTTTAAAACTTGGTAAATTCTCGCGACATTGCCATCACAGTTGTGGATATCATTCATAGATAGAATGTCGTGAATTTTACACTTGTACTCTTATTGCAATAGTGTTTAGAAATTTACACGTATTATCCTGATTATCCACAGAACTTGTTGGAAAAGTAATGAACGTATTTCGTGCATTCGATTTCCTATTGCTAGGCGAGACATTTAAAAGTATTATAACAGAATATCGAAATATTTAAAAAAAAACAAACAAACAGATACTAATGCTATTACCATCGGAATCTCATATAATCCCAAAATGACAACTATACCTGTGAATATGTGACTGCATATGTGTTTGAAAACATACAAACACAGAAAATAATGTATTTTATTTCATATGACTCTCTTTTTAGTCGAAAGAATCAACTTTGACTTCATTAGAATTATTAGGGTCTATCATGTTAGCTAAATATTAATCATAATAATTAATCTTAATGTCTATTTCAAATATTGAATGTTTCAAGTAGTCTATTTCAAAATTATCTTAAGCCGTGTATTTTATCTTGACATGAACTGACTTCCGCCATGATTTACTCTAGTTCTTTTATGAGGATGTGTATGTGGGTTCTGCTTTATCTTACACTCAAACCGACACCTACACCTAAATCGACAGGATAAATAACACATCAAGGAAAGTAGACATTTGTTTATACAATGAACTGTTTTATTTAAGATCTCTAACAAACTTAACGTTCTCCATTAAGATGATAGAGCAATTAATACTATGACGAAACATATGGTGGCCTATTTTATTTGTCATCGTTAGGTGAACATGCACACAAATCAAACATATTTCTCTCACAATATCTATATGTGTTTATATCATAAAGAAGAAATTCATAGCCGAGCAAATTCAGCTACTTTAGTGCCACCACTAATGGCCACATACAAATTAAGATTTGAATCTAAGGCAACAGCTGTTGGTTTATCAAGATCAGGTGTTGTACTGCTACCTCCAACGACCACAATGCCAACTGCTGAATTGGCACAATACATCACCACTCGATCATTATCCGAATCGACCACATACAAATTACCATATGGATCAAAAACCATGCCTTTCGGCTTGGCAAGAGCATTTTTAGTAGCATTGACTTGACTAAGAGTTGATGTTGGACTATTATTACCAAATGTCCATATATATACTTTATCTTTGTCTGAATTACTTGTATAGACTTGATTTGATGAACTAGGTGAAAGTAGGATGTCATAGGATTTATCGATGAGACTGTTACTAACTACAACAGTACCACTAGTTGCGTTCGAAGCCCATTTGACGATTCGATCATTATGTATATCAGCAATATAAATATTTAAATTGTCATCAACATCAATCGCTGCTAAATGATCTAAATCTGTTAATGCACCTGATTTAGTTCCAGTTCCAGCAACCGTTGTACCAATATTAGAATTCGGAGGAAAGCGTTGTACACGATGATTATTATGATCAGCTACATACATATATCCATATTTGTCAAAAGTAATGTCATCAGGACTGTCAAACAAAGTCGAAGTTGAACCCGAATTACTAGTATTGCTACCAGCTATTGTCTCGGCACTTGTTGCACATTGACTCCATTGTTGAACATGATTGTTACCGGCGTCAGAAACATATAGAGTATCATTTGTACCAATATATAAGGCAGCTGCATTCTTAAATTGATTAACAACAACCGCACCTGTTTGATTCCACTGAAGATCGTTACCTAAAATAATTAATGACATTTTAAACATGTAATTATTTATCATTAAATGACTGACAAGTATTAGAGATTGTTGAACTTCCAGTGTCTAAACAGAAACAAAAAAAAAGACTAGCATTCATTAGTAACTTAACTTGTAATACATACTTGGAATGCAACTAAGTATGTCTGTTACCGTTGTTGTTGTGGTGGTTGCTTTAATAAACAAAAAGATGTACATTTCATCATGTATTCTGAAAGAAAAAAAAGCATTTATTCTCGTTACATGTTGTTGATGTGCTCGTGCTTGAAGTTGTTGATGTTGTTGCTTAAATAGATTAAAAAAACATAAGCAGGCTAGAATTTCATATCAATATATTATTTTTCTCACATGTTGTTGTGCTTGTTGATGAAGTTGTAGTTGAAGATGTTGTTGTACTCGTTGTGCTTGTTGTACTCGTCGTCGTAGCTTTTAAATAAAAGACAAATAAAAAAAAAAAGAAGTAAAATATGAAAGATTCGAATCGTATTTCTACTTGAACTTGTTGATGTTGTGGTTGTTACTTGAAATTTCATAAGAATATTATTTTAATTAATTTTCATTTTAATTATTTTCAGCTTACCTGTTGTTGTAGTTTTCCTTATGTTTGATGTTGTTACTACAAAAATCGAGAAAAATTTACTTCATATGTGAAAATAAATGTAACGAAGTGGAAAAATTACGGTAATAATACTCTCGCTAATCGTATTTATTATAAGCTATTTGAAATTTTCAATCATATTTCTCTGAGCAATGAAATGATCTTATTCAGACGATAAAGATATAGAAAGAAAATACATAAATCACTGGCAAAAACGTTCTATTTTTTTATTAAAAGAGTTTAAAAAATTTGAATCTTGTTTTCAAAATACTTTGAATAGGCAATATGTTTGAGAATAATTTAGTCCTGATAGGTTATGATTTAATAAATGGTGCTTCGAACTTTTCAATATTTTGGCTAATATCGAATAATTTATTATTCTGTCAATAATACGAAAAAGGCTCAGTGTTTTTTTCACGACAAAATTCATGGTTCTTCAGATGAAGATAAAATATCTATTTACTTTTGTTGACATTAAGTAGAACAAAGCAGATATTAGCTATTCTAATAACGTACTATATGCTGTTCTGATTCCATATCAACATCATTTCTGTTGTTTTCTAAAGCTTAATCGAAATGTGTTGAATAATTAACAACTTAACGGTTGAATCTAACACAAGCATGGATCTATCTTTTGATAAAATCGAATTGCAGAAAGATTAACACTATTTATGATGTTGTTGAAAAATTTGTGTTAT